TTCCAATAAAATTGTGCGAATATGTCTTAAGTCTAAATTGTAGGATTACATTTGTAAATTAAATTGATTTTCACGATATATCTTCCGATTAGAGTGTTGGGATGAAAGCCTCTAATTGTGTTATAAAAATGAATAATTGATATGATTGATCCAATCCAATTGAGGGAATTCCGACGCTTCACCGCTTCGAATTATTGATTTTAATTTCACATTTCAACATTGAATTTTATTACACATTTGAGAGAACAATTCAGTCCTTTTGATCCTTTAAATATTCATACATCTCCCTTTGGATACGACACCCCAAAGTTGTATTACAACTACCGTGTTATTCTTTGGGCGTAATCAGTATCAGGACAAATGTATCTTTTCATTGTTTAGTAGAGCGGCCAAAGTTTACAGTGTTGAAGAGTGTAATAAGTTCATGGTAGAAATATGAAGTAAATCATTCCGGGCATGGGAGTATTTAACAAAAATTGGAATTAAACATTGAGTACGGTCACATTTTTCAGGACGTCGATACAATTGATAACGTCCGACAATGCGGAGTCTAAAAATGCATTATTCAAGAAAGATCGAGAGTTACCAATCCTTGCAATGATTGAGAACATCCGAAACAAGCTGCAATAGTGGTTTCACGACCGACGTGCTGAATCAAAGAGTTGGATGATCGTGCTAGCACCGACTCAAGAGGACAAACTCTTCAATGCTGCAGAGGTTATGTCGAAGTTGAATGTCGAACAACTGGATGAGTTGCGTTTTTTCGTAAAATGTGCACGTAATATCGCATACATGGTGGACTTGACTAATAACACCTGCACTTGTAGTTGATTTCTGATGGAAAGTTTTTCATGTGAGCATGCAGTCGTAGTAGATATGTAGAGAAACTTTGTAACGAGAACTTTATACTCTCCTTATTATACGGCTGATTATTAGAGAGCGGCGTATACTGAGACTATATTTCTTCTATCGAATGAAGTCGAGTGGGAGTTCCCCATCATATTCTCCCACTTAATAGTTTGTTGCTACTCGAAGTTGAACCGTGTAGTTTTGAACGTCCACATGCATCTAGAATATCATCTACCGAAGAGTTTTCTCGTTCGCGTAGGTGTGACGGATGTAGAGCAATATGGCATACTCGCTAATTTTAAATGTTTACCTACACTGTCAGAGCAATCCATTAGTATTGTACTTACGCATGGACCCTTTGAGTTTCGAGTGCGATATGATGAAGATGTGTCCAAATGAAAAAGGTCGATCGCAGTCTTTTTGTGATGACATCTCACCACGCTCTCAAGGATGTAGACTAGACCTAACTTCAATTTGTCCAACATCTAGTCGCACTCTTTGATTGTGCCAATCAACTGCGGTGAAGCACCATCCCGTCCCTTAAAATACGCGTCGTACAACCTATTATTCCTTTGAGTTCCGTTAATAGTTGTTTCGTCGCTCGTAATCTTCAGTTCACTTATCAGGGTAAACTCAAATATGGAGAAAGTAAATGCCTTGCCCCCGAGATCGAAGTAGAGGACATTGCCGTCGATGGGCCTGGCAGCCGATATAGTAATGCATCAATGATTTACCCAGAGTATTGCACCCCTTTCAATTGATATAGGGGACACGAGAAGGACTGACGTAACATATTTGCGTGCTGATTATCCAACAACTTCAATAAAATAGTGAGACTAACAAATCTACTATTCCAGTACATTTTTTCGCCATCGTCTCAACTCCGCATTAGATGGTACTCCATCCTGCAAAAAAATTAAATATTAGAATTTTCAATAAAAGATAATGAAATAAAGCATAATCTCAAAAAATCAAACGAACCGAATTGTAACTACTATACGCAAAAAATATATTCATTTTACACCGATACTAATAAAACATAAATAAATTAATAAATTAAAGGAGAAGAAAAAAATAAGAATTACAAAAAAAAAGAAAAAAGAAAAATAAATTAAAGAAAATAATAAAAAATAAAAAATTTAAAAGTATTTTAAATTAAAAAAATTAATTATATTAAGAAAAAAAGTAAGAAATTTTGAAACTATTTCCAAAAAATTAATAATAAAAATAAAACAAATTGAACAAAAGAAATTATAAAAATTATTAAAGAATATAAACATTATTTAATTAAAATTGAAAAAAATTAAGTTTTATCATAAAAAGATAAGAACTAAAAAGAATTTTAAATTCGAAAAAAATTATTTATAATATGAAGAAAACAATTAAGAAATTTTAAAACGATTTCCAAAGTTATAATAAAATAAATAAATAAAACAAAATAAAATTTTAAAATTTAAATAAATAGTATAAATATTATTTAATTAAAATTAAAAAAATAACTTTTATCATAAAAAGAAAAGAATTAAAAATAATTTTAAATTCAAAAAAAATTATTTATAATATGAACAAAATAATTAAGAAATTTTAAAACTGTTTTAAAAAAATTATAATAAAAATTTAAAAATGAAATTATGAAAATTAAATAATAAATATAAATATTATTTAATTAAGATTGAAAAAATTAAATTAATAAAAAATATATAATTAAAATTTGAAAAAAAAATTATATTTTATCATAAAAAGAAAATAATTTTAAATAATTTTAAATTAAAAAGAAAATGAAAAAAAAATATGGTGCGGTTTTACGGTCGGTTAGGGCCGACTGCTTAATGTCGGTGGCCCAGGCTGTCTGTTTTCTCATCATTTCTGGCAAGATTAAGGTTTCAAATTGTAGTAGTATATACACATAAAAATGTATTACAACCAATAATCTATTCAAATACGGAAGAATAAACATGATACACAATAACTTAATTCACAAATTTTTGAAGCACGATAAATGAAAAATCAATCTAATAATAAATAAATAATAATAATAATAACGACTTACATCTCGTTATCAATAATGTACTAAGTTTGATATCTGATGAAATTTTACAATTTTTATGTTTAATTGTAGTTATGGACACTATGGATATGTTATGGATTCAATTTGATTTCTAGTTGAATATGAGCAGTCAGTTGAGGCGTTTGAGAATGAAAATATGCAGTGAATGACAAAGATAAAACATTGGTTATTTTTGTTTCGGAAACAATTTCTTGTGTACACTTGTATGATAAAATTGGAGAGATGTTGAAGGTCGATACAATACTATACAAAATGGAGATGTCAACTTTTGTCCCTATACCGTCCGAGGTTCTAACCGTAAGAAAACTGGTCATGTTTGCATCACTTGTAAATGTCAAACAGCTGGTAATGAAATTTAAAGTTGTACAATTGTCATGACTTGTAACTTTGTTATTTTGTATTTATTGGAAGCACAAAATGATTTATTGAATTTTGTAGCCATTGTGTTATTTTCGCTTTCGTGCTATTAAAACAAAATTAAAGACATTTTTTATCGTTGTGTTTTTTCACATTACATAGAAACGACTTTTATATCACAATTGATAGTACAAAGATACACAATCATTCTAATAACGACGTTGAAATCGTTCCTGAACTACAAACGATATAGATATCGTTCCAATACGAAA